ACTGTTGGAATTGGCCGTGTATGAGCTCGGGGGCGTTGTCGATTCGCAAGTAGACGAGCTTGGTCCCCAGTAGATTTTCGGCTCCGACTCGGGAACTCGTGGAAGCACTTCAAGGCCTCGTCTTTGGTCTTGAGGAAATATACTGAAGAGTAGCGCCGAAAGTCGTCCGTGAATGTGATAAAGTACTTGAACCCCCCGTAGCCAGCTGGGAGAGGTCCACATATGTCGGAATGAATTCGAAAAAGGGCGCGCTCGGCGCGGTTGGAAGCCGGCAATCCTTGACTTTGACCGAGTCAATGCTTTGGGGCAGGCCGACCGTGGCGCGTTGGAGCCCTTTAACGTCTAAATGCCCCATTAGACGGTGGAAAAAACCTGTTCCTTCGACGTCTTGTCGCCGTCAGAACCAAGTATTGCCATAGTGGTCGGCGTTGTCGCGGCGATCAGATTTGTGCCAAAATTTGCTTCCGCGGAGGCTGATGTCGAGTTGGCGAGATTTTGGGCCGAATTTGGTTCTGTTCCGTTTGGATTGTCATTTGCGACAATCTTGAGTCCCATCTTGTAGAGTCCTCCCACTATCTCGCCTGACGCAAACGGAAAGCCTTCCGGATTGTAGTACTGGATGCGGCCACCCCCCGTTTCCGTTTGCACTCCCTTCACGTCGAGTTGCGTACCGGATATAAGGTTGCATCGAGCAGTGGGGATGTGTAAGACATTGCTCAGCGAAAAACTCATATCTCCCTGGTGAGTTCCTTCCAAGAAGATACGTCCTTTGCCTAAAGCCTGGGTAGTCAAATTCGACCCGAAACCATGAACATTCACCGGGTTCCTGAACGTTTTGTAATCTTGGAACGACACTATATTGTTGAAGACGTGGCGCGAGGCACCCGTGTCGTGATATATATTCTCGGTGCGTGTTGTCTCCTCGTTGGGCATAACGTTTACAGCGTTTACCCAGATGTCTCCTTCATCGTCGTCGATTTGCATACCACTCATCATGAACGCCCATCGCCGCGCCCGTCTCATTTCCTACCGCCTCCATCACATCCTCCTCGCTATCTTCCGTGAAGTCCAGCATTCCAGCAAAGTGGTCTCCTCCCATGGTAGCAGCAGGGCGATCTCCCATCCTTGGACGTGGGAGACCCAAGTTTTGTCTCGCTTGACGTCTTTGTGCAGCAATTCTTTCCGCGGGTGGCAGGTGAACGTTTCGTGATCCTCGATAACCTTCCGGATACTGACCCTCTTTACCGCCTTTGTAAGCGAAACAGTCCGCTTGACAATGTCCTATGGGAGTCGAACATTCGATGTTCTCGCAAAACAGTCGACTGCGACCCGATGCGCCCGCGTTGGGATTTGGGGCGCGGTAAGGTGCTGGACGTCGGTCCCCACGTTGGTGAGTGCGTTGATATTGGCGTTGGTTGTGATTGTTTGTATGGACTAACGATGCGCTTGCGACAGCACTTGTATCAGGATCAGTGCTCGTCTGCAAGGCAGTCGTCGTTGAAGCAGTTCCCATCTTGAATGCTTCTTCGCGTTGCAATCGTGCTACCACCGCCGCAGAACTCAATGGTTTCCCATTCCTCTCGGCATTCGTCATCTCTTCAAGTAATGAGTCACGACAATATTGCCATTTTTCGGTTTGCGGCATGTTGGTGATGAGGCATTTGGCAAATTCATGGTCGGGGAGCATGTCGGGGTCAGCGCGGCGTAATTGCCCAAACTTGTCACCCTCCACACAATGGGATTCCCCGTTCCGCACATGAGAGAAGATATTTGGCCTTTGAGAGTGATGGCCGTCAAAGTATTTGTTGGTTCGTAGGCTTCTTTCAAAGCGAACCAAGCTTCTCTTGCTGACTTGCAATGGTCGACAACATAGAGTTTCGCTATTGGAACAGCGTCCACTATGGTGGAGAGCGCTTTCTTGTCTTGCAACAACCAACTTTCGGCAGCCTTCTTCGCTACATTCACTTCGACTTCATTGCCTTTGGTGGTTATTGTCACTGTGGTCCCGGTAGGATCTACCCCTGTATACATTTGGCTGTTGACCAAGACAGGGATTACTGGAGGCTTGTATTCGTCGCCGTCAATGAACTTCCAGTACCCAGCAGCATCGAGTTTGCATTTTGCTTTTGCTCTAAATTCCGAGTAGTTGTTGCTACCGTCGGTATTTTCGACAATGGAGGTGAGTTTCAGTTGTCGCCATTCTTTCTCGTTGTCGGCTGATGACATTTCGAACAGATATTGATATGGATAAGCCGTGGTTCCTGTTAGCAGGGCGAGTAGGACGGCGGACGAGTAGGACGAGATTGGTTAGGTTGGTTAGGAGTCAAGTACGTTTGGCTGAATTGTTATGTGTTGCACAGACTTCAGCCGGGGCCCATAACCTGTGAAAGGAAGGCAATATATTGGTCTGGTACAACGAGAGAAGGGTTGATAATGAGTACATGAATGTTAGTAAATAGGAGTCATACCTGGTACAACGAGAGAAGGGTTGGAAGCCCCTCTCGTTGACCAGGTTCCAGTCGTAGTCAGATCGGTATTGAGATAAGATGTGATCAAGAGATAATGGGAAGACTCGCGTCATTCTCCGACAGTTTAGAAGGTTGATTTAACTGAAAGATGTTATTTTATCACTTGCAACACTGTTCTAGATGAGCAGGTAGGTCAAGATTCACTGCCTTTGACTTATTTGATGTCAGATCATGTGATGGATTCCTTCCAGAGGAAGCCTACAAATGCAACCACTATCCATATTCATGTGGAATATATGTCCTACACTAGTATGCATTTGGTAGCCAGACATATTCCTAGTAGTAACATAGTCATAAGCTTTTCTAATATTGTGATTAGGGAATAACCATTTAAACTATTTGTTTTCATTTGTTTACCATTTACATGCCATGGTAAACTAAATGAAAATAAAGACGGTTATAACCGTGTACAAACGTTTGTACACGGAAATGATTGGAGCCCTATCGGGGACACTGTCGGCGCCCCCGTCGTGTACACCAAAGAAGCGAACTTTTCGAGGGGGGCGCGGGTTGTCCATGCCAGTGAGGAAAGATAGGTATGCTGAAGCGGAACGCGAGCTGACTGCCAGTGTCTAAATAGTCATTTCAAAGAGCAAGCGACATAATGCACCTTTCGACCTCCGCGTGAAAGGCCCCCGCGCATCGGCAAACGACTACCAAGGAGTATATGGCCACGTATGTGCCAAGTGCCAAAGGCTTAGAAAGGCGCTTTGCAACGCGACGCGCGTTTTGAAAGGGAAAGATAAGCTGAGTGGTCCATGGTGCCGTTGATTCTTCGTCATGTGGTGAGTAATACCCGGCTCAGCTAGTTGTCCTAACGGCGGAGAGCTCGAGCCTTGGTGAGAGTAGAAAGGAGTGAGCATGAAGCAAAGACGATTTGTGATCAACAGTGTGACCGCGAAAATCATCTTTCATTCCGCCCACCACAACGAGTCCGGTTATCCCCCATCTATCTTCTCCAATCTTTCCTCTTTGTCGCCACTCGTATCGACGGCCGCGCGGACCTGCTGTTGGACCACTCGACAGAGCGCCCCGTTGGCGTCTTTGACACCTCAAAGCCACATGGCAGACTTTTTTCGCGGAGGCTTGGCTTGGACGCGGGGGGACGATGTGCGGGCGGGCTTTTCTGCAGCTGTCCGGGTCGAAGGACCGCAGAGAGAATGGGCTGAATCAATATGGGCATGGTAATGGTGCGTGTAGACTCTCTTCTGTCTATCTCTTGCTAAATCGCGGGAAGATAGGCGGGCTCAGCTCCACCACCTACGCGTGCACCGTCAAAGCCCGCTAGCAGGGAGGGCAAGGTCCTGGAAGCTGCTAGAACATCGAGGGGACACTGCAAGCGTGTGTGTCCTTGGCGCCTCCCTACTCGTCCTTTCACCTCCTTCGTCAGCTTTGCTATCCCCCGCCTGAAGGCTCTTTGACCATAATCTATTCCCTTCACCTCAGACGATGTCGGCTTGTGCCAAGGAGTGGACGTTCCCTTCCCCTTTCGCCACGTCTGCACAGTCGTCTCAAAAGGATGACCCCAGAGCTTCCCGGACACCCATTTAGACAATAACTCTTTCGTCACCGTTATATCGATCCCCTCGTTTCTCCCCGTGTCATTTCCAGGCACTATCAGCGTGCCTCGCCCACTCCGCTTCACGCGCCATACATGCCTTACAACAACATTATGATTGACAAGGCTTTCGCCAACCACTGGCAAATGCTCATCCGACACCGCATCTCCTTTCAAATGGACCCTTTCTCCATCATCCCGCGCTTACAAAATACTGCGTCAACAGTCCACAACCTCCACCCGCAACGCGCAGCTCCTGCGCTTTCTGTCCCAAGCATAGGAAGTCACGTGCAACCTTGCCCACGGAAAACGACGTTATATCGCGGCGCACACGGAGCATATAGCCTTATCGACTACATCTCGCCTTTCCCCACTCCAATACCGAAATGCCCATTTCTTTTTGCCCCGCTGGTCGACGCGGAAGGTCGTCGTTGCACGCGCTTACGGTGAAGACCGGTTATATGACGGAAAGTGAGATGAGGACCGGTGCTGGTGGCTCTCCCGAGTGTGTAGATGACGCGGAGCGTTTGGAGTCCGTCTCAAGGCGGTCTGCGTGGTCGTTGGTCCTTTCACGCTTCTCTGTGTGCTTCTATCGCGCTCGCTAGACACTGTTTCTTCCCCGTGTCTATTATGATATACTTATACTCCCATTGTTTCCCCGCCTTTCCTCGCTCCCTGCTCTGTAATGCTCCCTCCGTCCCTCATATATGCATTCCTCCCGGGCCGTGCCCGTCCTAAATGCACTACATGGTCGTATTTTTCTTCGTGCGTTGGTGTAAATTGCTTTTCCCTCTCTCTCCCTCTCCCGGTCCCCGTCCAAAGTCGCCAGGGACAAACCATGCATGGGATGCTCGTGACTCTTCCTATGTATGCATCGTGATCAGCACGAATGCGGCAGCGGCCAGCCACAGACGATGCCCAGCGACGATACTTACCTGTTCCGGCGCCGGCGTTTCAGCGATGTGTCCACGTTGGTTGAAGTCGAACGTAGCGAGATCGAGGATGGCGATGGCGATGGCGATGGCGATGGCGATGGCGATGGCCGTTCTTCGGGCGCGTTCGAGTCGGAAGCGAGGGAGAGAGATCGGCTGAACAGCGCCTGCATCGTCTTCCCTTCATTCCAGGGTGACAGTGACGCGGGCAGGAAGATTGCTCGTGGGCCCGGGTGCATTCCCTCCCGAGCTCAAATAGGCAGACTAGGGGGAGAACGTCCACCTAGCTCCGACATGCGTCTGAGTCTCTTGGTTAGCATCGCGACAGTGTGCCTTTACCGCGCCGCGGCTGCGAGTGCGACCCCCGTGTCGGTGCTCAGTCAACGCACTGATGCCAATATCAGTCTGGTATGCCGCACCACGCTGGGACTTGCACAGCGAGGGGAAACTGACGTGTGTCCAGACCGCGGGCCAGCAGGCGCTCGTCCTGGCCGCCGCGTCCCTCATCAGCCGGGCCAACAGCGCGTCGTCGCTCGCCCAAGCCCTCGTCAACGCGGACACTGGCGGCGCTGCCAGTGTGGGCACAGGTGGCGTGCTGGAGCAGTTTAATGGTATTTAGGAGGTCTGCAGCGTCTGCCGATCGCAGCGTTTACTGAAAGCCAGAAGACGCTCTTCCCCACCAGTGGGAACGAAGGCGTCGCTGCCGCGGCCAACGGCCTCCTCGGCGCAGCCCTAGCCGGCGCACTGCCGGACCTGCCGGGCACGCTTATCACCAGCGGCCTGCTGCCCGTCCTGACCGCGGCCGCAGACGCTGCAACCTCTGCCCTCGCGCCCGTGCTGGTCGTCGCCACGGCGATCATCGCCGAGCTGCCCGCGCCGGCGGGAGACCCGGCCGCGCTCCTACTACGGGCGGTGGCCGGCTTCCTGTTGCAGGCGGCGCAGGTCCGCGGCGCGGCGGATGCGCTCGTGCGGCAGGTGGTGGGGGCGGTGGGGGCGGTGCTGCAGGGTGTGGTGGATGTACAGGTGCAGGGGCTGGAGTGCAAGTGTGTGGACGCGCGGGTGGTGGCGGCGGTGAATGGGCTGTTGGCGGGGCTGGCTAACGCTGTTGGAGCCTAAGCAGCGCAGATATATGATATTATGGCCGTTTCCAACACCTTGTTCAACGATACTTATGTGCAGATTATCAGGCGAATGCGAGAAGTTGATTATTAATATACGAAAATTCCCATCATGCACTGTGTGTATAATCGATCGAAATGGGCACTGTTTATTCCCAAACTCCCACCGTGATGGGATTGAACAACCACACCTGATTTAGCAAAATATATCTCGCCGCTGAAACGAAACTGTCAGGGAAATTTCTCCCGGGCCGAATATGCCGTTCTAATCGGGTCGCTTCCGGGTTTCCCCGACAATTTCAGCGACGGTTTCAGCGGCAAGATATATTTTACTAAATCCGGTGTGAACTATCAGCCATCCGCCGCCGGCGTAGCTATACCTGCACAAGGAGGAAAAAGCGGGGCCTATGGGATGAATCCCGCAACCCTGATTTGATCGGGGGGGGTCAAGATTCTTGTCAGGCACATGGTGTCTAAACCTGAGTTTTGTCTTATTCAGTAAGCAATCATTAATTTGTCTTTGGGTACAACTTGGCTGGGAGAAATGAGTTGTTGTTCTAGCTATAGAACTGAAAAAAGTTGTACCCACCTTCCGGAAAAGTTGGCCTTGTCTTAAATCAACGTGGCTGAGACTAAAGTTGTCACTTTCCAAATTGTCTAACATTTCTGCCAAGTTGTCTTCATATGGGAGACATACTGTAAAAAAAGATTAGAGACAACTTGGGTAAAATACAACTAAAACTATGGTACAAGTTTATATTGACTACAACTACATGTTTGTCAGATACAACTTGGCTGATAACATGTACAACTTGCCTGAGTACAACTTTCCAATATGAGACAACTTGTTTGAGAGCATGTATAACTTTAGGGGGATAAAACTATCTTGGAACTATGTACAACTACCAGAATGACAACTTTTCCAGAAACAACCTTTCATTTGGCCAAAGACAATGTCAGGGGAACCCCCGCTTCGGCCTCCTTCTCGGACCCTCCGAACGCATCCGAGGCGCATCCGACTGGCGCCCCCTCGGACGCTCCGACCCACCCCGACCATCGTCCACGGCCTCCTTCGCCCGCACAATCACCGATCCGTCAAGACCCTCCCAACGATCACCTTGGGACAGAGCCTGCGACGCCGCTCAGGCCTTCTGCGCTCTACGTCGGCAGTTACGGACGACCAGTATATAGTTGGCGCCCTAGCAGGCGGACCCTTAGAGTTTCTTCTCTTTGGATCCTCCCCTGCTAGGTCGGTCCCCCCGTGTATTTCCGTAGCTTCTATTCACGCTTTGGATCCTCCCCTGCTAGGCTTTTGTATGGGGGACATACTGTAAAAAAAGTATTTGATACATGTTTTAAACTGGATACAACTTTTTGAAGGTACAACTTTTTCAGACAAGGTACAACTTCAGTTACTGCATCACTTGCCATCAGCGGCCATCAAAGGTGATCATAAAGGCAGTGGTAGAGCAAAGCATGTTTAATGTGTTTATCTGATCCGCTGATGATATCAGTGATGGCCGGCCAAAAAGTTCAGATTGCATTCAAATAAACTGCATACAGAAATAAAGTTGTCCTATGAAAAGTTGTCCAACTGGCTAGTTGTATGCCCAAAAAGTTGTACTCAGGAAAAGTTGCATTTTGGAAAGTTGTACATAATGACAGGTTGTCTTTGCCCAAGTTGGACTTGTCACAGCCAGACTCAAGTTGCCCCACCCAGGAAAAAGTTGTACCTGAATTAGGGCCAAAGATGTCTTATTAAAAGTTGTAGTTGTCTTTGGCCAAATGAAAAGTTGTTTCTGGACAAGTTGTGATTCTGGCAGTTGTACATGCTTCCAAAAAAGTTGTATCCCCCAAAGTTGTACATGCTCTCAAAAAAGTTGTCTCATGTTGGAAAGTTGTACTCAGACAAGTTGTACATGTTATTGGTGAAGTTGTATCTGACAAACATGTAGTTGTAGTTGATATAGAGTTGTATCATATTTTTAGCTGTATTTTACCTAAGTTGTCTCTAATCTTTTTTTACAGTATGTCTCCCATACTTTTGCTTACAGACAACTACAACTTCTAATAAGACATCTTTGGCTCTAATTCATGTGCAACCTTTTTATGGGTAAGGCAACTTGAGTCTGGCTGTGACAAGTCCAACTTGAGCAAAGACAACCTGTCATTGCATACAGCTTTCCAAAATGCAACTTTTCCTGAGTATAACTTTTTGGGCATACAACTAGCCAGTTGGACAACTGTTCCTAGTACAACTTTATTGCTGCATACAGCTTACTGTAGCATTTTATTCAGTTTGGCGGTGACGCGTCACACCGGCCTCAAAATGCCGAAATTTTTTCAGCGGTCACACCCCACAGCCCAGATGCCGAATTCCCTTGGCTGATTTACCATTTTTGGGTGCCGCGGCCCACAGGGCCGCGCCGTAATATGCCGAAATTTTTCAGCGGTCACACTCGGAGCCACCGGACGCCGAAAATTTCATTTCGACGCCGATGTCACACCCAATTTGGGTGCCGAATTGAATAAAATACTACAGTATTTGAATGCAACTTGGACTTTTTTGGCCAGCCATCACTGATATCATCAGTGAATCAGATAAATATGTTAAATATTCATTGCTCCACCACTGCATTTACAATCACCTTTGATGGCTGCTGATGGCAAATGATGGAGTAAATGAAGTTGTACCTTGCCTGAAAAAGTTGTATGTAGGCCCAGAACAGTCAGAAAGGTTGCACTTGCAGAAGTTTAACATGTGTCTAGAAAAGTTGTTATCAAGTATAAACTTGTCACCAACCAGAGTAAAACATGTCCGCAGAAAAGCTGTCTTTGAGGTTGACTTGTACATGTACACAGGGTGAAAAGTTGTATTTAATTTGCAAAGTTGTATCTAAAAACTCTAAAGAAGACAAGTTGTACCTTCAAAAAGTTGTATCCAGTTTAAAACATGTATTAAATACTTTTTTTACAGTATGTATGGGAGACATACTGTAAAAAAAGATTAGAGACAACTTAGGTAAGATACAACAAGAAATATAGTACAACTTCATATTGACTACAACTACATGTTGGTTAAATATAACTTTAGCAATAACATATACAACTTGTCTGAGTACAACTTTTCATCATGAGACGACTCTTTTGAGAGCATGTATAACTTTAGGGGATGCAACTTTCTTGGAAGCATGTACAACTTTCAGTATCTCAACTTTTCCAGAAACAACTTTTCATTTAGCCAAAGACAACTATAACTTCTAATAAGACATCTTTGGCCCTAATTCAGGTACAACTTTTTCCTGGGTGAGGCAAATTGAGTCTGGCTGTGACAAGTCTAACTTAGGCAAAGACAACCTGTCATTGCATACAACTTTCCAAAGCACAACCTGTCATTGCATACAACTTTCCAAAGCACAACTTGTTCTGAGTACAACTTTTTTGGGGTACAACTAGCCAATTGGACAGCTTTTTTTTAGTACACCTTTAATTCTGTATACAGCTTATTTGGACGCAACTTGGACCTTTTTGGCCATCCATCACTGATATCATCAGCAGATCAGACAAAGATATTAAATATGCCTTACCTCACCACTGCCTTTATGATTGCCTTTAATGGCTGCTGATGGCAAGTGATGGAGTAACTGAAGTTGTACCTTGCCTGAAAAAAGTTGTATCTAGGCCCACAAAAGTTGTACCAGAGGCCTTGACAACATGTATCTTGGAAAGTTGTGATTGCCAAAGTTGTTGCATTTGTCGGAAAAGTCAGAAAATCCATATAAGGACCTGACGAGGCCTGATAGGATCATCAGGCCGAATAAGGTCGACTACTGAAGCCTATAAGGCCGAATAAGAGGGCATAGGGTATTATCAGTGCCCTGTTTAAAGCTTATAAGGACATGTAATGATAAATTTTTGAGTTGTTCAAGCATGGCCGCGCGGTAAGTTATGACATCATTACCGGTCCGTGACAACAACTCTTTTTCTTACTCTCATGCCTCCCAGTCGCCGCCCCATTAATTTACTTACGCGCCCCCTCTCTCCTATGAGCGAGATCCCTGACTCGGAACCCGAGCGACTTGCAGCGGCCAACTCGGACTCGGAAGACTCGGACACAGGTTCTGGCACAGCCGGGAAACGGCCTCGCTGGACTCGAACCCAATCTTCGACATACAACCAGGCCTTCTCTCATCTCAAGGCTGCGGAGTGGGCTTTGTGGAAGCTGCGAGAGGACTTAAAAGGTGTGCTATCAAGTTATAGTCCTACGACATTCAACTGAAAATATTGAAGTAGCTCCATCGCAACCTCCTCGCACCCCACATCACCCAAATCGAAAGCTGGCGGACAAATCTGTTGGTCCAGACAGCCCAATCTCTGGTGGCGTTGAAGAGCCGCTCGTCGCAAAGGGAGAAATGGATCATCTTCAAAATATGCGCGATATTATGTGGCAACAGTTGGACGAGTTCGAGTCTGTAGTCAACGCTGACGAAAGACGCCGGCAGAAGGATAAACGTAGGAATGAGGAGATTCGGGAGAAAGTTAGGCAGGAGCAGCAACGTAGGAGAAGTAATTTGGATTGAAAATTACAATGATTCATTATCTGCACGCAAAAAAATATCGGCATCAACAGAGTCTACTAGAATATGTGTTTTCTCTCCCTTATTCAGTGACACAGGTGCCATGAGTGCCCCCACGGACAACATACGCCATTGAAAGAAATGAAGATTGAGTGGTCTCGTCGCGTACCTGAATACCTGCCCATACTGTTCGTGGTTTCCACTTGCTGGCTTTGAACATTCGAGCAATGGCGCAGTCGACACGCCGTCCCCCTTGTAGCTTGCACCGAATAAATACCCGTGCTCGTGCAAAATACAAGCCCTCCTCGGCCATATTGACGAGAAGACAGTCGTAGCGTTCACGTTGATGGAAGAGAGGATTGGCACGGATGATATCACGGGCTGCTCGCCAGTCTTCGCGCGATTGATAAGAGACATAGGC